CGCTCGCCGCGGCGGCGGACCCGCGTAATATCCGCGCGGTCGCCCGTCTCGCGGGCTGACTTGCTGCTCGGAGCACGTACGTACCTTCATGTCGACTCATTTTCCGTTTAAAATTCTCATATACGCCGAACCACGCGAACCCCTCGTGATCGTATGCTCTGCGAGATACGACCGTCGACCGTCGTTACGTGAGCACCTCGGTGTCGCTCGGTTACGGATCGACACGACACGGGGAAAACATCAATCGTCAAACAAAAAATTTGTCGTTAGAATTTCCAGCGTAAAACCTAACCCAACTAGGCTGACGAACGTGACGTCACGCTAGACTGACCTACCGGGGATTCTGGTGGAAGTCGAGCGCCACCGGCGCCGCCTATTGGTTCACCGCGCGATCGCCGTGACGTTGCTGCGAATCGCGACGAATCCGACGCCATGTTCGAGGGAGATATGAATTTCGCGCGATTCTCTTCAAGGGCGGTTCCTTTTAAGCCACGCATCGATCTCTTTAAACGAATGTCGAATAAATTACCGATTAACTTATGCCTTTATGTTTTTATCAATACAAATTAACTTTAATTTCAGTTTAATTTATCTTTCATCTTTATTTAATTTTTTGAACTAGAAAAAGATGAAGATGTGTTAGTTGAACCGAGATTGAGATTAATCTATACTGAAAGAAATGGGCCTTAATTATCTAAAAGATAAAAAAATTCTATGTATCTAATTTAATGTATAATATGATTTTTATTTATAATTTGCAATTTTTATTATAATATATGTATATAGATGCTTTATTTAATTATAAAAATATTAAATTTTTAACTATTTCCATTCTGCAATTATATTATATAATATATATCGATGACACCTATATGTTATTTCTCTCTCTCTCTCTCTCTCTCTCTCTCTCTCTCTCTCTCTCTTCACATAATTAATATATAGTTAAATGATTCTAATCAGTATAATAGATATAATTAAACTAATACTTATCCAAATTTGAATAACATTGAGAATATAAGTAGAGTTTACGATTTTAAAGCTTACAAAAGAAATAAATAGAAAAATACGGTATTCTTAGTTTAAATATAATTTATTTATTAGTTAAAATAAAAACGGTAAACAATTCCATCAGAGTTCGGCCATCAATCCAGCATCTTTCTAAAAAAATTACATAGTTTTCACTTAAATCCAAAAAATTAGCGTATTAATGATCGTTGTGCGACTTTATCCACTTTTTTCGTTTTAAAAAACGTCTGCATTACCGATAGATATTTCGACGAGACGAAATACTCGGACGACAATCTACAAATATATAGTTTATGATAAGACCCGGCGATCCCTCCCTTCACGAAACGACGAATTTCCGAAAGTGATTTCGCAGCTTCGTGCGCACTCGTATTTTTCCGTCAATAATCGCGGAACTCCGGATCGGTATCACGAAATCGAATCACTTATCGAACAATGGCCACGGTACTTGGACGTGTAATTGTGTACGGGGGCAAGGGTGCCCTCGGCTCAGCCTGCGTATCACAATTTAAATCGCAAAATTGGGTGAGTAGCGGGACTCGTGAATAACGTCATCTTCATCTCCGACGTAATCCGGATTCGATTAATCGCGCGACCGTCTTATCAGTAGATTTTATCGGTCACAGAATTTTATATATATATATACTTCAATATATGTACGTGTATACAGAAGAATATAAATACACACAAAATAATTAAAACGTAAAAATAAATTTGAACGATAACGTTCAAGTCCGATCGAGTTTTATCATTCGATTTATCGGTGACTTTTGCCCGATCCATTCCATAAATCATACATCAATATTTTCGTCTGTTTCAGTTTTTCTTGTCATAGAATTTGTCGCAATAAAGTTTTCTTGCATGTAAAAAAAATTTACATGGAATTTATTTAAACGCATATTGAACGCCAAATGGAAGTGTCATATGATTCGATTTGAATGGCAGTCAATTGTTTCCTCTTCAACTTTCCCGGTTCCATTAATCTGCGGTAGATTAATAGTCCGCGATATTTCGCGGAGTAATTCTAGATTATACGTGATATATACGTAAAACTTTGTTAATTTTATTATTTATTTAATTTTTACGCGTCAAATGTACGTATTTCATGCGATTATATTTATGTAACAGTAAATAAAAATATTATTTTAATATGTGATAATATAATATTCGCAAAATTTGTAATTTAATTAAAATTTATATTTTTTTTCTAGTTTTTTTTCTTTAGATGTTATATACAGTAGATGTTGTCTGAAGGATGTTGCATAAAAACTAAGTATACCAAGGTTATTGCTAGTCAGGCAAGTCCTTTCACAAAGCCTTCTAGATGCAATTTACCTCTACTGTATATAATTTAGATAAATTATGTTTTATACTGGAAAGCAATTTTATGCAAATATATTTATTATATCCTAATTATTTTATTAATACTAATATAACATTTATATTGTTTGTGTGTAAAAACTAAATATAAAATTATTAAATATTTTTATATAATATTGTTGATTTATTGATATCAAATAGAAACGTATTATTTTTGTTTACAATTATAAATTCTGATACAATGTATATGTTTATTATAATTTTTAGTGTATATATGCATTATAATTTTTAGTGGGTTGGCTCCATTGACATGCAGCCAAACGATCAAGCAGATGCAAATATGATTGTAAAACCTGACAATAATTGGCAACAGCAGGTAATTTTTTGTTGCTTACATTTTTATCATGAATATTTTTATCATAAGCGACAGGCATTAATTAATTTCTTGTTTAACAGCAAACGGAGATCTTGACTCAAGTTAAAGATATATTGAAAAACGAAAAAGTCGATGGCATTATTTGTGTGGCTGGGGGATGGGCCGGTGGTAATGCAGCACATAAAGATTTCGTGAAAAACAGCGACTTGATGTGGAAACAAAGCGTTTGGAGTTCCATCATAGCTGCCAGTATTGCGGCTGAATACTTGAAGGAAGGAGGATTTCTTTCTTTGACTGGTGCTAAACCGGCGTTAGAAGAAACACCAGGTTTCTTTGATGAACGATAATATAAAATATGTATTGTACATCTCTTTGTATTTCACTAAAAGGTCAATTTCGCTCGATTATTAGGTATGATTGGCTATGGTATGGCAAAAGCAGCTGTTCATCAGTTAACGAGATCTTTGGCGGCTAAAGATAGCGGTCTTCCTTTCAACAGTTTGGTAGCTTGCATACTACCTGTTACTTTAGATACGCCAATGAACAGGAAATGGATGCCCAAAGCTGATACAAGCACGTGGACTCCACTCGAGTTTGTGTCCAAGTAAGATGAAACATTTACAATTTTCTCAAATTAATATTTTGTGATTACTATTATAAAAAAAAATACATATCTTTGTTTATAGTTTATTCTGGAAATGGTCGCAAAATCAAGATCGGCCTGCTAACGGTTCTCTCCTGCAACTCATTACTAAGGATAATAAAACGGATCTGATCACGGCTTAAAGATATCAAATGAATAAAATTTATGGGAACAAAAGTCTTGAAGCATTTATGACAATATAATATACCTCGTTATTACATTAGATATATCTTGTTTATTGTTATACAAAGGAGATATGTTTAAGGATGGCAAGTCCTTAGAAAGTTTTATTTTTGTATCAATAAAAACTAATCTTTTTGATATTTTTAAACGTACATTCCAACATTATATATTTTTGTATGTTATTGTATACATAAGTCATTTACTTATTTAAAGAAATGGATATTTCTTATGTCTGTGTGTATATTGCATATCTGTTATTGTGCGATGTGTAGACTATATATACATATACTGTATTAAATGTTGCAAAAACAAAAAAGAAAGATCACTTAAAGTATCACGAATTGTCTCTCTTGTAGATTTTTTCTCCTCGTTGAAGTATAAATGTTTTTTTTATTCTCAATTCTCAAATAAATTTTAATGTTTGTCATCAAATAAATTTTAATATTTTAGTATATCTTGCAATATTAATAAAAAAATATTCAATATTGAATATTAAAAATTATCGTAATCATGAATTGTCTTGAAAAGTTTTATAATTTATTATTAATTTCTGAATAATCATATTTTTAAGTAAAAAAATTGTTAGGTTTTTAATATCAAAATAAATACTTATATCCATAGTAACTAATACATTTAAAAAAAGTAGGCTGAAGGCCCGGATAGCTCAGTCGGTAGAGCATCAGACTTTTAATCTGAGGGTCCAGGGTTCGAGTCCCTGTTCGGGCGATTTTTTTTTACTTGAAAGAGGATAATATATATATATATTCTAAAGTAATTTAAGTAATTTTAATTGTAACATGTAACAGCATGTTTTACTGGAATATATTTACCATAGAATCTCATACTCTTCATACATGTTTTACAGATGTATATAATTTATGTTTTTTTACACAGATCTTTATTTATTATTTTTATACAATAAAAGTATTCGTATTATCTGTGACTGTGACAATGATGTTAAAGCAGCAAGTCGACTAGTTTTATAGTACATACAAATCATTCAGTATTTCGCTCGTGTGACATACATTATACATATATATATATATATATACTAACGCCAAACAAATTATGTTTATGTTGCCTTGGGTGGAGCGAAAAACTCGTCAAGCATTTTTTGTTCCGCTGAAAAGAAAGAAAAGTTCAAATTTATGATTTTCAAACTAGAACATATTTATAATTTACATATTTTTATACACAATCTCTAAAATTGTTGATGCTCCTTCAATCTCACTTTATGACTAGTAGAAAGTTCTTTAGCAAAGTTTTATTTTTGACCATGATTTAAAAAATGATGAAGATTCATAAGAAATCAAATTAACAAAAAAAAAACAAAGACATTTAACAGTTCTATGAAACATTTTCTAGTCAATAAGATTTAATATTATGAAATAAAAGATTTCTGGCAAAGATTAAGATTGGAGCATAAATAAAATATAACAGTGAGAGTTTAAAAAAATTAAAAAAATTTTTATTTCTTTTTGCTGTTCTAATTTATGCTTCTTAAAAGGTTTATTTATGCTTTTGTTACTTTTCCCTTATATATTTGACTTATGCTCAGATTTGTACTTTTATTAGAGATCATAGGATATTTTTATATTTATGTATGCAGTCAAGTGCTGTACCTATTAAAGAAATTCTCTTCTCCTCGGCTAACTTGGCGTCGCGCATAGGTTTAAGTCTCAACTCCTCTGCTCTACGAGCATCCTCTTTTTTCTTCAATCTTCTTTGATGGTATGCACCATAAGCAATTCCAGTAAGGAGCAGACTCCAGCGGCAGAACTAAAAAGTACATACAGATACATTTAATTAAAAACAGAGATTGTTTATATATACCCTAATGCTTATAAAAAGAGAAATTAATACATTAACTAATTTTATAAGTGTTATTTCTAAGAGTTAAGAGCAAAATTTGATTTGCTAAATAACAGACAGCCAAAAATTAATTATTAAACTAATTTCGAACATTTAATTTATGTAGAGTAAAATACTTTTAATTTCTTCAAGGTTAGGAAATTGAGAGGTGACGTTGAAAGAAACCCTTTAATAAAAATCAGAGCCACGAGCTACCGTGACAATGTTGTCACCAATTATTTTTTTATATAAATTTATTAATTTTAAATACCTTAACAAATAGTAAATAAATTATGTAATAAAATGAATCCAATCATGAGAGATGGAGAGAACTCAGACAGTCGAAAAGGACCGTGTTTTGCTATGATGAAATAATAAGAACACGCAGGATTATATGTGATGACAAAACGTTTCAAGAAAAGCTGTTTTTTTTACCTTGATGAATGGAGAAACCCGCAAAGGTCTTGGATTTAACTCGACGGTCGACGACATCTTGCTGGCGGATAAGGATATCGACGAATGCTTGTGATGTGAAGTGAGTGAGTGTTCCATATCGCGATAAAAAGTGCGCGAATTTCGAGAATGCCGTCTCGTTTGACAGGTCTGCTTTTCGCAGCTGTATTGTTACATTGTTTGCATTTAAACTAAGTAAACGTATAATTAGATACCAAAGAAGAAAAAGAAAAAATGCACTGTGAAAAAAATGCGCCATAGACTAATGGTATTTAATTGCAGTGTTACATTTATAATTGCGATATTTTTAATCGCAGTCGAAATTGATTAGAATTATTGAATTGTTAGAAAATATAATAATAAAAATATTATAATATAATATTATTATTAATAATGGAAATTATTATAATCCCAGTCAGAAATGATAATGGAATTGACATCGAATCGATCCGTCGATTCGACATCGAACGACGTCGAAAACTTCAAATCGATGTTGATCCATTATCATTTCTGATTGGGATATTATTATTATATTTTCTAACAATTCAATAATTCTAATTAATTGTAGCATACTTATATATAGACAAGATAATATTAATTGAATAACTTTCTCTCTCTCTCTCTCTCTCTCTCATGTCCATAATATTTTACTAATATTAATATATTATAGATATAAAAAAATTAATTGGGTGTTTAACAATAAGTTTAACTCTACATTGTTCGTTCGTGTAAACTACTAGTCTATGGATCACAAATTTTGTAAGTGCAGATTGCAAAATTTACACTTCAAGCAAATTTGTACGATATTGGCTGCGCATTCAGCAGAGAAAGCAGCTTTGCAACTGTTGTAAAATTCTTAAATATGATTGGTTTATACATTTAGATTCATTGAGGAACTAAGGGCAAGACCAATCATATTAAAGAATTTTACAACAGTTGCAAAGCTGCTGTCTCTGCTGAACGCAGCCATTGATGCGATAATTCTAACGCCATATTGGACTAAGAAATGGTACAGAAAATCTCAATCTTTTTTCGTTCTTGGTATAAACTCTACCTCACAGACACGTATTAATGCGTGTATTTTAATCTTGGAAAGGATTTTTGAATCTCTAAAAGAAGAAAAAACAATTATTATTATGCAAGTTATTGCTTTCAGTTGGTAAAACAGACAACTTTAGAAGCCCTTTAAATGTGGGATTGTCCTAGCAAATTACATTCTTGAAATCGAATTGTACATGATTTACAGGAAGGTTAAGTTTATTTTTAATTACATTTTTTATTTTTAATTACATAACTTATTCCGTATTTTGTGGAATCGCAGGAAACTGTATATCAATCACAGAACTTATAGTAATGGAACGGGAGGGCTCCGATTGCACACATCGCATATTGCACACATGTATCGCTGATTGGCCAATTTAAAAATAAAATAATCTCATTGGCAAAACAGTGAAAAATTACTAGGCACCAGTTGATATGAGTGGTGTGTACAATCAGAACTGTAGGCAAACGGGATCCTCCCTTTCTGTATATATTTCTATCCTACTCATAGCGTTTTCGGCCCGGTCAGGTTTGCACCAACCTGGGTTGGATTAATGGCGTTTTGTGCTCTCCTATTGGTAGAGCGGGTGACGTCAACCAATAGGAAAGATTAATCCAACCCAGGTTGGTGCAAACCCGATCGGGCCGAAAACGCTATCAGTAACTTTTCTTCTTTCTGCGCAAATGCCAAAAGAGGATAGAAGAGTATAGAAAGATATTTCTGTCCTTTAGATCTTGCTCACAGCTCGACGTCCATATTTTCCTAGCTTCCATCGCTATGGGTGCGTTCGGGGAGCTCACTACCAGCGCTACTGCATCACTCTATCCTTATTGTTTATTAGACGAAAAACAAAGACAGAATGATTCGATAGCACTGGTAGTGACTCCCCGAACGCACCCTATAAGTTCTACGATATCAATTACCGTGTGCAAAGATCATAATATTAATTCTTAACTTTATTTGTAGATGGTGCATCACAACATCTAAAAGAATTCTACTGAGGAGTGTCCCATCTCATCTAAATTGTATCCCGTGAGTCCCCCCTCCACGACGATGGTCTTGAGTGAAAAACGGACCGGTGTTTAGACTTCGGAGTGTTCCGACACCCCGGAATACTCCGCATTGTTTGGAGTGGAGTTTGGAGCTCGCGGCACTGGCACTACTGGCAGTCCACAGCAGTCAGCAAAATGGCGTCGTTGTGGACGGTGATGTCATTTGTGTTCTCGTTGCTGCTGATACCTTTCATCATGCTGCTGTTGGCTATCGTATTCCTCGCATCCATTGGCAAATCCCTTGGTGTGCGTAGGCTTTACATTAAGCTGCTGCTGGCCCTTTTCGAAGTGAGTTCCTAAATTTCGAAACGAAAGTCTCATTCTTCTGTCAACGAAATAAACCGGCGCGCTCCGAATGGTCGTTTCCTGCGTTACAAACCGTCACTCGGCGATGTCATGCTTTCCTTCGACCGTTTTTCGCCTCGCCTCTCGCGCCGGAAGAGACCGTTTCCTGGACACATCGATGCTTTTTGCGGCACGTGCCGCAGCTTTCGAGAGAAAGCAAATCGGATAACCTTGCGCTTCATTGTGTAGTCGCGTCTCGCGTAAAGTACGATTGATTGTAAACGTAAAGATTGACGACGATAGATTTCTTCATGTTGAAATCTCCAAAAATTCTTATACTCTTAAAATGAGATACAAACTGTCTCAATTCTTTGGAGTGGAATTTATTCACTCTGTGTGTGTGGAATGAAGTATTTTATTCATGAGATTCACTCTAAAAGTTTTAGAGAATGTATTATTCAAGCTGAAGAGAAAAAAGAAACTAAGATTCGA